CATCAATTGAGAAGTTACTTGATAACTTACATTAGGTATATAATTAATATGAGTATATAAATGTATATCTTGACTTGTATATAATATGAGTATATAAATATAAATGTATATCTTGACTTGTAGAAAAAAAATATGAGTATATAGTTGTATATCTTGACGACTTGTAGGAAAAAAAAAACAAAAAAGAAAAAAAAAAACTGAAGGATAATTTGCATGTTTAGCATTTAAATTAAATTATATATATATATATATATATATATATATATATATATATATATATATATATATTGGTCCCTCTTATGTATTGAGAAAACTATATTGCCTTTACATACTTTCTTCTTTAATTAATATATTGATTAATTAATTATAAAATTAAAATATAGACAGAGGTTCACTCATTTCCCTCATCTTTGTCAAAACGACATGATCTCACATTAGACCGGTTATACCCTCAATTCGGACCTTCCTAAGGGTTTGAAACCATTCTTCTCCGGCTCAATCGCACCCTCATCTCCCTGCACCATGTGAAAATTAAGGGCATGTTTGGGAGTCCATTTGAAACTCCTTATCGACTTTTTGGAAAAACCATGTATTCTTAGCTTTTGAACAAATCATTTTTTCACTAAAAAAGTTAGTTTTTACCAAACATTTTTTTAACTTATTGGTTTTTTGAAAAGCCAATAAATTAATAAGTCATTTTAAAAAGCAAAAAGCACTCCCAAACACCCTAACCATTGTTGATGTCTCATTGAATCATTAGCATGAAACTCAAACATTGATGAAGTCTCCTTGAATCGCCATCATGAAACTCAATTTTAGGTTAGATTTTCATCTCACTGGACCACTACTGCCAATCTTAGATCTTAGGAATAAGTGTTGTTATGATTCTCCAAGAACAAATTTAACTTCAATTTTAAGTTTCAAGTTTGATTTCATGTTCAATTTCATCAAGTTTCATCATGTATTTGGTTTGATATTGAGTTTCCGGTTCTATTTCAGTAAGTTCCATTAATTTTAAGTTTCTGATTCGATTTCATCAGTTTTTAGTGTTGGTTTTGAGTTTCGTGTTTGATTTCATCAAAGCTCTATCAATTTTAAGTTTTAGATTTTGATGTAAGGTAATTTCATCATATTTATTTGTTTTCGGTTTTGTGTTTCAAGTTCAATTTCATCAAGTTCCATCGGTTTCAGGTTTAATTTCATCAAGATTCATTAGGTTTTTAGTTTTGGTTTTGAGCTTCGTATTAATTTTCATCAAGTTCCATCGAGTTTGAGTTTCAATTTTTTAATTTCAAGTTGGTTTCAAGTTTTGAGTTTTGCCGATTGAGTTTCCGGTTGAAGAAAAAGACGAGGGGAAGACACAGAAGACACATGGGTATGGGTGGCAGTGGGGCCAATTTCATCTTTGTAATTATCAGGGCGTCTCGTTAATTTTGTAGATCCTGTGCAAAACTTAAAAATGGACCCCTAAATATAATTTTTAATATATAAGCAAAATTCTCCCTAATAAATGGAAATACTTTTGCCACTTGTCATCTTCTCCTTCATTTTGACACATGTCATTTTCTAGAATTTTTAAAATTGTATTTTCCACATATATTTTTTGGGGATTTCAATTTTCTTAAAATAAATTTCCAAAAATTCTAACGGGTTATATATATATATATATATATATATATATATATATATATATATATATATATATATATATATATATATATATATATATATATATATATATGGTGGGGTTCAATAGAGAACCATAATTAACCAAGGAACCAAGGAACCAATCGTGAGCGTTGGAAATCATAACGATCAACGGGCAAGGAAATAGATGTACACTTTTACATTGGACGCACACACACCGGATTATACCAAAAAATCCACCCTTACAAAAAAACTCACCACTTTTTTTCGTTTAAAATTTTTTTTAGGCCATGTTTTTTATCAAAAAAAAAAAACCGAATATACCGTTGTTCACGATTTTTCGTCCTATTTCCATAGAGATCCATGATGATATATAAAAAACGAACTTTTTCTTTTTCGAAAAAAACCCACTTCATTTTCTTTGATTAAAAAGTTAAGGTCTATTTTTTATAGAAAAAAATTAATAAATATATTAAAATTCATATTTTTTGTACTTTTTAAACATAGATTCATATTCATGTTAAAAAAAAAACGATATTTCAATTCAGATTCACATTGTGAACCTGTTCAGATTCATATTGTAAACCTGTTCAGATTCACATTGTGAACCTCCTCAAATTCACAGTGTGCATAATAATAACTCAGATTCCCAGTGTGAATCTGAACTGATCGGAGCTTTTTCACATTGTGAATGTTAAAATTTGAAATATTTACAGTTTAGATTCACAGTGTGAATCTACACTGATCGAGGTTTTTTTTTTTTTTTTTTTGTGAACATTCTCAGATTCACAGTGTGCATAATAGTAATTCAGATTCACAATGTGAATCTGAACTGTTCGAGATTTTTCATATTGTGAATGTTAAAAATTGAAATATTTACGGTTTAGATTCACAGTGTGAATCTACACTGTTTTTTTTTTTTTTTTAATCGGTGTTGATGTTTATTAATAGAGTACAAAAAGTTAATATTTTTGGTATAATTAGTTTTTTTTGATAAAAATAAACTTAAATATTGAAAAAACTAAGAAAATTAAGTGTGTTTTTTTCGAGAAAAAAAGTTCGTTTTTTATATATCATCATGGATCTCTATGGAAAGAGAACGAAAAATCGTGAACAACGGTATATTCAGTTTTTTTCGATAAAAAACTTGGCCTAAAAAAAATTTTAAATGAAAAAAAGGAAGCGAGTTTTGTTATAATCCGGTATATGTGCGTCCATTATAAAATTTTACAACCCTTCCTTTTGCCGTTGATCGCTTTAAATTCCGACGCTTTGGATTGATTCCTTGGTTCCTTGATTAATAATGGTTCTCTATTGAACTTTTCCATATATATATATATATATATATATATATATATATATATATATATATATATATATAAGGTTATCAGTGTATTAACTTGATAATAAATTCTCATAAACGCTCCAAACGATTTGATTTCTTTCATAAATGTTCCAAAAGATATGGAAAAACATTATTTTATAAAATATTTAATGTTTATATATATTTATATTAAATTTTTATTTATAATAAACCCGTATAATACACAGGTCTCACACCTAGTTTGTTAATACTCTAACAAGTTAGTTAAATGGTATCATTTTATCAAGATTTGTGTTCATCCTATGATTTATGGATTTTTTTTGTTAGTTTCCTAGTTTATTGGTTATCTCACTGACTTACAAAAATAAGAAATAAATTTCTGATTTCTTTTGGAATTAATTAGCCATCTAAATATTACTGTTCGATTACATATATACATATACATATATTTTAAAAAGTTTGGGCCCCTCTTATGAAATGGATCCTGTGTGGTTTCCCACATCGCACACAATTTGGAGAGGCCTATGGTAATTATAAATAATAAACTGCTTGAAAAATAAATAAATAAGGTAATATAATCTTTTCATATATGTAAAGGACTATAAACGCACCAAAAACATAGGACATCGAAATTAAATAATATATATGAACTAAGCAAGCAAATTTCGTACTCTTCAGTTTAACTGTCACCAAACAATGCAATGTAAGAAACTCAAAGAATAAATAAACTTATTCGAGTAATCGAGTCAGTCAAACATCGTGACAAACTAACGAAATCATCAAACTAAAATATATATTGAGATCTTTTTTAGTATAATAACAAATATAGAACTAAAAAGCCAAAAGGGAAGTAAAGAAATTAATTAAATTGAATAAAATACGAAACCACGGATTAGTATGCATCCATGACGATAACTATGTCAAACAAGATTCCAAAATTTGTTACCGAAAATATCGTTCATTTACTTATTTAACCAAATTACATCGTTTTCATTTATTATAAGATAATAGCATCTTTATAAACGTCACTATCATACTAATTAATCTATCATTTCTTTTAGAAGCACTTTAAAAGACTTGATGGAAAAGTTTTAAGCTAAGGCCAAAAGTAAATGGCATATGATGCAATCACATTCTTGCCTTTCACTTGCAACCCTTCTTTCTTTTCTACAGCCACAACTTTTTTTTTTTTTTTTTTTTGCATACAAAATACAAGTGCCATAAGTCACAACCATCTTATACATGATCCAAAAAAGACGACCATAAATATTTATTCACCACAATATTATATCGTTTTGTTTCAACACACCGTATCACTCTTTAGCCCACATTTGTTACTACGAACACATTAAACTTTTGTACTAATATTACGCACACTTTGAAACTACATGTATGTCAATGTGACAAAAATTACAATTTCTTTCCCGGTACGTCTGTCAATCAATCTACTAGACAGTCTACCGGTTTGTCAATCAATCATCAATCTAACAGTCTATCTACTATTATACAACTCTATCAGTCTGTCAATCAATCTACCAATCAGTCCTACCAGTTTACTAGTCTATCAATATACCGTTCTAAAATTCGACAAAGCTTGTATACCATTTTACAACACGACCAAGCTTGTCAATCTACTCATCTGTCTAGACTCTACCGGTCTATCAATCAACCGGTCTGTCTACTAGTCTATCAATCAACCAGTCTGTCTAGATAGACTCTACCGGTCTATCAATCAACCAGTCTATCTACCAGTCTATCAATCAACCAGTCTGTCTAGATAGACTCTACCGGTCTATCAATCAACCAGTCTATCTACCAGTCTATCAATCAACCAGACCTCAGAAGAGGGAAAAACAGCATAGAAACAAGACACAATGTTCAAATTCTCCACAAAAGTAAACGTTTTATAATTTAGAAGGAAAGCTATATAAAGTTTACGCAATTTTATGAAAGAAACTATACCAAAATACCTGTGCATACAATTCAAATCTATCAAACATCCCCAAACATAATCAAACCTTAAAAATTTTCACAAATCATAATCACCACTCGACGATTCACCAACCCTCATTGTGATCTTCATCCTCTTGGAACCATCAGCACCACCGTTCCCCCTGGTTCGACCCTTCGAACCACCTGCTGCACCCTGGTCCGAACCACTTCCACTTTTTCCAACCTCCGAAAGCCCACTCTGTAAAGCCCTCACCAAATTCTCAAAATAAGCTCGAGTCACAATAGTCAAATCCACTAACTTCACTCTGAAATTACTAAACTGTTCTTCACTGGGTTTTTCCTTTTCATCTCCTTCTTTTGTAATGTAACTTTGAAGCTCCTTTTCTGCACAAAGATGGAGTCTTTCTAATCCAGATTCTGCTTCTCCTTGTACGTATTCAAAAAAAGATTTTTTTGCTTCTTCTTCTTTGGGTATGTAGTATCCATATGCGTATGTCCATTTAAGAACTCTTCTACATTCAACTATTTGTAACCAAGCGTCTATGATGAAATGTAGTTGTGATTCTGGTTGGCAGAAATTCAAGCTGAGTGTTTTGATATGGATTTCATCGATCCTGTGCATGTCTGAAAGTGCTTGTTTTCTTGATTTTTCATTTGCAGCCCATCGTTCATAGTAATGTGTGTATCTTTCTATTGCTTTTTTAGCTAACTCTCTTTGTCGTTCAGATTCGGGAATTAGTCCACCTTCTTGGGATTTGGTATATCGATTGCATGCTCTTCCATCGTGTCCTACATATGGGCCAAGACATAGCCAACAGAACTCGAATCCACATGGAGGTCTGCAAGTCATGTGCATACAACCATGATTCTTTTCAATTGATCGTTTGCATTTCGGACATGGCTTTGTGTATGCGAGGATCCAGTTTGTGTTTTCAGCTTCTGTGCTGTTTTTGAGAACCCATTTAGCTACGGTTTCACAACCTAGAGGACGATGAGCGTCTTCCATACACTTCCAGCAGAAAGTATGCTTACAGAGACAAGAAACATCGTAGTTACCAGTTTCGGAATCATCGTTGAATTCTACAGCGTAATCGCAACCTGGACCAGGGCACCATTTGATCTTCTCGTTGCTCTCGACATAAGACATGAGAAGAAAACGGGCGTACCTTTTCTTTTTGTTCTCCGGAGCTAACGCTTTGACCATGTCCGGACCAACAGCAGCGTCACAAGAAGGTTCCGGACACTTTAGAGTTAAGCATCCAGGGCCGTCGTCGATGGCGGTGCAAACGTAAGCCGTCCAACACGTCTTACAGAATTGATGATCGCATCCACATGTCGCAGTGTTACGCTTTCTAATCGATTCAAAACAAATCCCACAATCGACAAATTCTTTACCTGATTGAGGGAATTTAATAGCCGGATCAACGTCCGGTAAACCAACAAATCTACGAACTTTATCTTCGTCTTCAAACCAAGCTTCGTGAACACTATTCACAACCCAATTATAACGCAGCAACAGCATGCACGCAATATCTCTCGGCATCATCGGTAGAACCGCGATAACCCTAGTGATGTCTTCCTCTTGACGCTGAAACAGGTCATCTTCTTTCAGTATCACATAGCTTTTCTTGCTAGTACACTTTACGCTATTGATCAGAACATTGGAATCATCGGTCCCATCATCTACATCAATGCCATCATCACCATCGTTATAATCGTCGCCAGTATAGTCATCATCGTAGTAATCTTCATCATCAGAAGAAACAGGGGATGCAAATCGCAAAAGAGCAGGATCAAGGTCGGAATCCATGGGTTGCATGGAGGAAAGCGATGAAATTGTAAATAAATAATTAGTTTATACTAAAATTGAGGGCGATCGGGGATCGATCAAGTTGAGATTGATCAGGAGAATTTAGGGTTTAAGAAGGAGTGTTCGAGTGACGAAGATAGCGAAATAATTGGGGATTCTTGGAGGTTAATTTACAGAATTTATCGGAGAAAGTGAAGACCAAGACTTTTAACTTTTAAGGTTCGATGTAACTTCGATTTTTGGGCCCAAGTGGCCCAAAATTGAATGGTATATATGTTGCAAAATTGATCTCGATTAATATAGTAAAAGTATAACAAATTATTGGAAAGTTTATTTTATTATTAAATTGTACTCGAACATTCATGTGGATTATGCTAACATTTAGCTTATGTTTGGCGTACTAGCTGAAAAGCTAGCTGTTAAGTAAAAAGTTAGATGATAGCTGAAAAACTAGCTGATAAAAAATAACGTTTGTTAAACTAGCTGAAAAACTAGCTGATATATATAAAATTACATAAAAGGACATGTAACAGAATGTGTTTGTATAATTAATTAAGGGGTGTATTTGAAAATTTTTAAAAAAACTCCTAAAAAGCTAGTCTAAGTAGTTTTTCAAAAAGTTAGCTTATAAGCTACTTTTTGGCTTACCAAACATGACAACATAAAAAAGCTCGAAAAATAAGCTAGCTTATCAGCTAGCTGTGGCGCTCCAAACACAGCCTTAGTAGTCATGTTCAAATGCATAAGAGACATATGTTCTAGTGCATAACATTGCATACATGATGTATTTTGTGATATAATAGTAAGGATTACATCATAAATTTGACCTCATCGGGTGTGGTTGGACACCGATACTTACTTAGGACTATCTTATTTTGCATTGGTAAGGTTCCATACCTGAAATCTTTCACCATCAACGTTTCAAGATTTTGTCAATATATATAGTAGTAGTGTACCATACAAATAAGCCTCTCACTCCGACAAACTGTACTAACAATCGAGCCGGAAAAGATAAACACAGTTGAGGCAAATCTGAGTAATTAACGTCGATCCCAAGGGAAGATCTGAGTAATTAACGTCGATCGCAAGACAGGACATGAACACCAAAAACATCCCCGTCTTCCAGCATAGATCGTACACCACCCACGATTACCTGCAAAAAACACACACGATAGAAGCACATAAATCATACATGGTCACAAACACTATTTAATTATCCCAAAAGCTCCCATACACTCTCGCATATACACGCCTAACTTAATTGTCGGAGTGTAATCCCAAGATACCCCCCCCCCCCCCCCATAATTATATCTTACCCAATGTTTCCTTTTGTGGTCATTAGATGTTGGAGCATTTCTCTGTTGGGTTATGATGGGTTATGATGTGCGAAAATCCCCCATAATTTATTTATTTATTTGTAAAATATTATTAAATAATTTTGCTACCACTATATTCAAAAATTAAATTTGCTAGCAAACATGTAACAACGTAATTTTTCAAAACAATTTTTCATTTAAAAACATACATTCATTCACACGATAATCATAAAAACATAATGTATCCACTGTAACATAACAAAACATGTCCCAAGATCTCGATATCATAAACTCCATAAGTGTGTACGGATCATGCCGGCGCCTTCCCGCGATCCTCGCTAGTACCTGAAACACATCACACAACAACTGTAAGCATAAACGCTTAGTGAGTTCCCCAAAATACCACATAGCCCACATACGCCTTTCCAGGCCACAACTCTGTAGGATCTTCCGATCCATGTGTCTCAGGGGACTTCCGTCCCAAATTCCGATAGACCTTCCGGTTCGTACCCTCTTGACCTTCCGGCCCATATCATCTCGACCTTCCGGTCCTTACCATACGTAACATACATAGCACATACATACATATCATCTTGACCTTCCGGTCCTTATCATTCATAGCATACATAACACATACATATCACATAACCGCATATAGTACATACATCATAGCATACAAGACCTTCCGATCACACATAGGTACCCTTCCAGGTACAGTATAGTGAGAAGACTCACCTCAATGAAGTCGGATAACCTCTCGTGCTCAACGTCCCGACTTAGCCTCCTCCTATTATTCAAATAACATTCCCGATCAATACTCTCTCATGATCTCATCTCTACAGACTGGGTAGAAGGCCATTCTACCCTTCCCTGAACTCTCCTGAATCAGCCTTGACCAGAACCCTAAGGTCAACGGTCAACTTTGACCCGACTCGCCGAGTGCACTAGGGTGACTCGGCGAGTACACGCCTGCCCTCTATGCCCCTGGTCCTCCCTTGACTCGCTGAGTCAACCTTATACTCCATGGGTCGTCACAGGTCGCGAGTCGCGGGGCAACCCGACTCGACTCGTCGAGTCTGCTCATGGACTCGGCGAGTTCATTCCATGCTCACACTCAAATGACCTTCCGAGGTCAGATCTGTTCCTCTAATCCATAGATCTAACCTTCCCAAGCTCAATAAACACGTAAAGGTTCGAACTTGATACTCATGCAACGCCCAAATGACTCTACTTGATGATTTAGCCCCAAATACAACATCCTAAGTCCATTTCTTTCATATCTCATCATAAAGCAAGATGGATAAGGTTCTCTGGACCACTATGGGTCCAGATCTGAAGCCTAAACATGATAAGGGAGCATATCTCCAACAAATCATCCCAATAAAGGGTATAGAAAACCCTAAATCCATGGATTCTTTAACAAAACAGAAAGAGGATCGATATGCTACCTCAAATATGATGCTCTTTGCTTGAAAACCACAGATGTGCAACCTCCTTGGCCTCCTCTAAGCTGGAATCAACTTCTTCTAGCAAAACCAACCCACAAAGGTCCAATAATGGCTTCTTCTCTCTCTCAAACGCTCAAGCACTATTAGGGTTTCTCTCAAGGGTCTGGTAGCCGCAAATGGTGGCTATAAGGGTCCTTAAATAGGTCCCAAACCCGAGGAATTAGGGTTTCATTAAACAGCATGGACTCGCCGAGTCCTTCATTAAATCAGGCCAACACATCACGATCCAACTCGGCGAGTCTGGGCGCCTACTCGCCGAGTCCCCCCTCTAAAAATCAATATAAAATACTTAAAATAGGATACCTGGGAATCCGGATGTTACAATTCTCCCCCACTAGGATCAGACTTCGCCCTCGAAGTCCTGCTCGACAAACAACTTCGGATGCTGCTCCCGCATCTCCATCTCTGGCTCCCAGGTCAGCTCGGACCCCTTCCGATGTTGCCACTGGACCTGCACCAGTGACACCTCCTTGTTCCTCAGAACCTTGATCTTCCGATCCCGGATCGCGATTGGCCTCTCCGCATAATTCAGGCTCGCATCCACCTGAATATCCTCCAGTGGTACCATCGCCGACTCGTCGGCTATACACTTCCTCAACTGGGACATGTGGAAGGTATCATGAATTTGGCTCAACTCCGTAGGTAGCTCTAACCGATATGCTACCTTGCCCACCCTCGCGGTCACCCTGAATGGACCGATGTACCGGGGCCCCAGCTTGCCCCTCTTCCTGAATCGGATCACTCCTTTCCAAGGAGATACTTTCAGGAGTACGAAGTCTCCCACGTGGAACTCCAGCTCGGATCGTCGCCGATCCGCATAACTCTTCTGACGACTCTGAGCCGTCAGTAACCTCTGTCTAACCTGCTGTATCTGCTCTGTCGTCTGAAGCACTATCTCAGTGCTACCCATCACGCGCTGCCCTACCTCTCCCCAACAAATGGGAGTCCGACACCTCCTCCCATACAACAATTCGAAGGGAGGCATGCCAATACTAGAATGGTGTCTATTGTTGTAGGAGAACTCGGCCAACGGCAAGTACGTGTCCCAACTTCCCCCGAAGTCCAACACACATGCTCGAATCATGTCCTCGAGCGTCTGAATCGTCCGCTCACTCTGCCCGTCCGTCTGTGGGTGGTAGGCGGTACTGAAATGCAATCTCGTACCCAACTCCTCGTGGAACTTCTTCCAGAACCTGGAAGTGAAACGTACATCTCGATCAGACACAATCGAGATCGGTACTCCATGACGCGATACCACCTCTCTCACATATAACTCTGCCAACCTCTCAGCAGAAGAGCTCTCATTGATAGCAAGAAAATGCGCGCTCTTCGTCAGCCGGTCGACGATCACCCAAATTGCATCGACACCCCTTGCGGTCCTTGGCAATTTGGTGATGAAATCCATGGAAATCTGTTCCCACTTCCACTGGGGAACCTCAAGCGGCTGCAACTTGCCATGCGGACGCTGGTGCTCGGCCTTAACCCTGCGACAGGTCAAGCACCTCTCAACAAACCACGCGGCATCCCTCTTCATACAGGGCCACCAATAATCTTTCTTCAGGTCCAAATACATCTTCGTGGCCCCGGGATGGATCGAGAACCTCGATCTATGCGCCTCCTCCATCAGAATGGTACGTGCCCCGCCTGCATGCGGCACCCAAATCCGACCCTGAAAGGTCATCAGCCCTCGACTATCGGTAACGAACTTGGGCACCTGCCCGATCACCCGCTCCCTCTTGCGGTTCTCCGGTATCACGGCCTCTGCCTGGGCCTCCCGAATGGTGTCCAACACCGGGGTCATTACTGACAACCTCATACAAGTGCCTCGAATCGGGGCACTCTCCGCCCTACGGCTCAGCGCTTCGGCTACCACATTAGCTTTGCCCAGGTGGTACAAGATCTCACAATCATAATCCTTTACCACATCCAACCATCTTCTCTGACGCATGTTTTCAGATTGGGCTGATCCATCAAATACTTCAAGCTCTTATGGTCCGTGTATATGGTACACCGAACCCCATACAAATAGTGACGCCAGATCTTGAGGGCGAACACCACGGCCCCCAACTCCAGATCGTGGGTGGGATACCTCGTCTCATGAGGCTTCAGCTGCCTCGATGCATACGCTATCACATGCCCTCTCTGCATAAGCACAGCACCCAACCACGATATCGATGCGTCACAA